GAGAGAGAGAGAGAGATTATAGTGTAGTTCAGCCAAAAAATGTAAATATGTAAATCGCAATAAATTTTTTCCCAAATATAATTTTTTTAAACAAATTTTTGTTTTATTTCTATATGTACACTACCAGTCAAAAGTTTTTGAACAGTAAGATTTTTAATGTTTAACGAATTCTCTTCTACTCACCAAGCCTGCATTTATTTGATTCAAAATGCAGCAAACGCAGTAATATTGTGAAATATTTTTACCATTTAAAATAACTGCTTTCTATTTGAATATATTTTTTGTAATATTATAAATGTCTTTATCGTACTTTTGATCAATTTAAAGCATCCTTGCTAAATAAAAGTATTAATTTCTATCATTTCTTTCCCCCAAAAAATAAATAAATAAATAAAATTATACTGACTCCAAGCTTTTGAATGGAATAGTGTATTATGTTGCAAAAGGTTTTTTGTTTTTTTTTTTCAGATAAATGCTGATCTTTGGATCTTTCTATTCATCAAAGATTCCTGAAAAAAAATGGATAAAAAAAAAATAATTACATTTTTTTTTTTAAATCTAGATTTCTGAAGGATCATGTGACACTGAAGACTGGAGTAATGATGCTGAAAATTCAGCTTTGCATCACAGGAATACATTACATTTTAAAATATATTCAAATAGAAAGCAGTTATTTTAAATAGTAAAAATATTTCACAATATTACTACTTTTGCTGTATTTTGGATCAAATAAATGCAGGCCTTGTGAGCAGAAGAGATTCTTTAAAAAACATTACAAATCTTACCGTTCAAAAACTTTTGACTGGTAGTGTATATATATATATATTCAGTTGAGATGAAGTGTCTGGTCTGAAAAGCTCAGTGTATTTGTGATTGGTGAGCACTGACGCCATGTCGAAGGTGGAGCCTTGGAAAGAGGGCTTGCGCAGCACGAAGAGCGTAGCGGCTGTGTACGGCGGACGAGGATTCGAATCATTCCAGTAACGATCTCTCTCCATCACGGGCAAATCTCCATACATCTCATCCACCGCCATCATAGACACCTTTCAAACACACGAGCATAGGGAACGACTCGGTGTGAACAAACACACCAGTGTCTGCTTCTTGACAATGAAAGACAATTAGAATTGATTTGATATACTGTAAACAGTAAATAGAACCTGGAAGTTTCTATCAATCAACCAGTTGGTCTCAAAGTCATCATCATCCTCACCAAATGGATTTATAAGCTGCTCTGCCACCTGACAAATAATACAAACAGACATTAATGACTGAAGAAATGGCTAATATTGATCAAATTAGTCAGGGAATGATACGTTATTGGACAGGATCATATACGAAGAGGGAGAGGCATCTAATTAATATTTAAATCAAAGTATCCCTGATTCCTGACCTTCAACCAGCCAGCATAGAAAAAGAATTGCAGAAGAGTAAAGATGGGGACGTAAAGGTCAAGGTCGTGACCCGGATAACCTTGACCTGGATCCAGAAACTGACGACCAATCAGACACACCAGGAAGAAACTGTACACTGCCAAAGTCACAACCTGAGATTGACAAGAATATCATGTTCATATTCACCATAAAACGCATTCAGTCTGTCTTGTCTTAAGCATGTATCTGACCTGTGTGTAGACCAGCGGTATGCTGATCATGTCATAGTGAAAAAGCATGCTGCACTTCCCTCTGAAATCATTCAGCTCCTAGAAAAGCAACACAGAAGACAGAAAACAGATGGATGGATTATTTTTACACTGGACTTTAGAACTGGGTTTCATATACTCTCATTAATACTGTCATTTTTTCTAAAGGCCTTTTGAGTGTAGTTACCTCCAACAGAAGTTTATAAGTATTGTCATCTTTGATTCTGCCCTCACAGCGGGCGACTGCGGCCAGGTTAGTGAACCACACACATGGGATCCAGTACTTATTATAGGGAGAGTGTAAACTCTCAAACTTCTTACGCTCTTCTCTTGTCATAAAACCTGGAAAGAGAGAGAGAGACATTCCTCAGTGTCTTATATGGAAGCCAAAAAAGTAATTGTGACTTTTCATCTTACAATTCTGACTTTATTCCTTGCATTTTTATGTCTCCTTGCATTTTATTCAAAATATAAAAGATGTTAACTACTCAAAATTCTGAGAAAAAATCTAAAAATATAAAAGATTTTAACTCAAAATTCTGAGAAAAAATTAAAATATAAAAGATGTTAACTCAAAATTCTGAGAAAAATATAAAAAATTAGAAGATATCTCAAAATTCTGAGAAAAAAATTCTGAATTGCAAGATGTTCATTTAGAATGAAAACTCAAATTTGCGAGAAATAAATTTGAAATAAATAAATATAAATAAATATGTATTAACAACAGTTACAACAAACAGCTACTTCTGTTACTGTTACTAAATATTATGTGAGTCATGACTTGCCACTAGTTTTAGGTGGTTGCTAGGGCATTGTTTGGATGTTCTGGTTTGTTGCTATGGTGTTGCTAGGCTGTTCCGGTTACTAGTGTGTCTCTAGATTGTTGCAATCTCCCTTACCTGCTTCAACGACGTGATCCATGGTGGGGAATCTCTTGAAGATGGCCCTGCTGACGGAGCGCAGGATCAGGAGCGCGGACAGACTGGCGTAGCGCATCAGTGTGCGGCGTAGCAGCCTGCCGTGCTCGTCCCCGCCCTGAACGCCCCCTGAGAGCGTGCACATGATCCTGTCCGGCAGCGGGATGGAGGTGTACTGATTCCACCAGCGGTTCACTATTAATGTCACGTAAAACCCTGCGGTAACATAAAACAAAAACAGGTTTTCTTGGGAATATATATATATATATATTTGTTATGTTTTTTAAAAACGAATTGACATCATCCTCCCAGACATTACATAATTTTTGGCAGGAAAATAACATCAACAAACAGCAATGATGAATCCTGTGTTGTTTTGCTGTATTAGCTAGTTTGTCTTAAAACACCATTTTAAACACTACTTTTCAAAAGTTTGTTTTTTTTTAATTATACTTTTATTCAGCAATGATGCATTAAATTGATTAAATGTTACCGTAAAGGCTTTTAAATTGTTACAAAACTTTTTTATTTCAAATAAATGTTGTTCTTTTGAACTTTCTCTTCATCAAAGAATTCTGGAAAAAAAAAAAAAAAAAACATCATGGTTTAACACTGAAGTCTGGTTGCTGAAAATTCAGCTTTGCATCACAAGAATAAATAATATTTTAACACATATTCATAAACAAATCAGTTATTTTAAATTGTAATAATATTTCACAATATTACTGTTTTTACTGTATTTTTGTTCAACTAAGTACAGCCTTGGAGAGCAGAAGAACAAACAATGTTAGTGTGTAAATGAGGGCTATGTATTCATCTGATGACCTTAAAACATGTTCAGCATGACTGAGTTTAGTGGTTATACTGTCCCAGGATGTGCGTGTATACCTAATACGAAGGACATTGGGATGAGACTGGCGTAGTTGTTGCAGTAAATGGAAAGCTTTTCAAAGTATCTCTTCTGATCGTCCACAAGGAAGAATCTGGAGAAAATTACAAAAGTAAAGTATAACTCACAATCAAAGCATCAGATGAGGACATTATCACAGCCACGCACCTGTATGTGATGCTGATTGCTGTGTACATGGCGAAGAAAGCCAGGAACTCTTTGTACAGGACCTTATAGATGCTTCCCTTCCAGGCCAGCAGCAGTTTGGAGAAGCCGCAGAAGCGCGCATTGGCCACTCTGGCGGTGTAAGTGACAGTCATCACGCACCACAAACTCAACGTGGCACTGCTTCCTGACAAAAACAAGGACCGAAGAGAGGATTAGTGGAAGTTCAGGAACACAACACAGTCAGGAGTCTTTTTTGATACGACTTATTTATAAAAAAATCTTTAAATAAATTACAAAAACAAAGAAAGCAGATGAAAAAAACACTTTGTAATAATAAAAATAATATAATGCTGAACAGATGAGTAGTTCATTCTCACTGATATGTGAATATACAAGAACAAATTTTAAATAAAAGTTTGTCATTTGAGTGAAAGATTTTTTTTATTATTATTATTTTACAAAACTGGTGTCTAATAATCTGTGTAAATGCATGATAATCATACAATTTTTCATTTTTATTTATTTTTAATTCTACATAGTATTCTCTTTTTTTTAATCAGTTTTAGCAAATGTATTAACACTAATATATATGGGCCGTCCCATTTAGGCGACTGCATCAAATTACATTTACAAAAGTGAATTTATACACACAGAAAGCATATTAAATGCAAGTTTAGTGTCTACTTTAATGTTTCAAATAACTTTTGAGAAAATAAAATGTCAAAATATGGGTCAAATAATATTCCATTGTCATTCAGAGTAACATATATTTATGTAAAAATGAAACAACATACTCATTAAAATATATAAAAGAATAAGTGATCATACTAAATTTTATTATATTTTAAATGATTCCAAACCTCTTGCTGACAAATGGGTAAAACCTAGTGGTTTAAAGGATGGTGGCAAAGATTTGTAAAGATTTAAAATTAATTTGTATTAAAAATTCAATTAATTAGACAATTAATTCATATTAATTATAGTCTTTTAATGCAATCTAATGATTCTTGATCTAAATATGCCTGACAAGATTTTTGGTATACAATTTATTGTTACACCAAACGACATTTTTTCTGTAAATCATGGCAAAAATGTATGATACTCATTATTTTTTGCTCATAAAAAAATACAATTAAAGAGGACACATTCTAATGTATGAAAAAAGTATTATATATGATTTTATATTAGATTTCTTATTCAATATCCCATTATATTGTTAAATATATATTATAAACATATAACTATAGTTTCAAGTTTGGGATGTCTTTTTGAGTTTTTATGTATTTGGCTGAGGATGGCATAAAACTTTATGTTTAGTGCACATGTGAAGATATCCTGCTGTGGATCTCATGGGACAAGCGCTTTGTCATCTAAAATACAGAAGCAGGTAAATGTGGGCATATACATGCCCACAAACAATCACAAACAATCACAAACAATTATGCACAAGAATCATTTCTGCCCTAAACTCTTATTCAACAACATACATTGTCACAATACTGTTCCTTTAGTATTGTATTTACAATAAATAAAGTTTATTTATTCAATCAACTTTACGTAAACATAATGTAACTATAAGTGTTCTTACCTTTTCTCCTCAGCCTCAGAGGAATAAAATATTTCACAAGATGTTCCAGAGGAGCTGCATGTCATGTGTCCAGACAGGCTGTCGTTCATTATGTTCTGCAGGAGCTTGAGGGTCAAATGCACCTCCTTCATGAGTTTAAGAAAGGACATCATCTCTGCGTCCAGATCTAAGATTAGAAGCAAATGCCACATTATCTCTTCTTTGCAAAAACTCAGCTTACAAAAATGTAACTGTATGTGTGACTGTGCAGAGGAGGTGCGACAAATTGTCACAGGGGCTTTGACTTTGTAACGATGCTCACAAATGTTTGTACTCTAGCAGTTTTTTTTAAGATAGTGTTGAAAACTGTTTTAAAGTAGGACATTTCTTCTTGAATTATGTCCTTGACATTTTTTAATATTAGTATTATATTATTATTGGCATCTCTTGGGTAACAAGTCAAATGTTATGTTGCCTATAGATTAAAGGTAATTTTCCATGTCAAAAGTTGCCTCATATTTTTTTTATGATGTTATTTTTTTAGTCAATTTATTACAACAGAGCAAACCAATGTTTGAAATTTTACATCTTTTCAGTGTTTGCTGCTTTATTAAATGTTATAGTAGTTTTACTATTTAATCAAAAAGCCTCTAAACAGTCTATAAAATAATTTAAATATAGATATGTTGAGGAAGATAACTATTAATTATTTCATGTTTCAAACAAAGTGTTTTTGTGAACTATGTCCTTGAAATGAAATGTTCATTATTATTATTATTTAATTAATTTATTTATAATGTATTATTATTATTTACAAAAGTTGTCTCGTGTTATTTTTATACAGTTTATTACAGCAGGCCAATTTTTTTCATTTTTGTTTTATTAATTTTTATAATTGTTTTACTAGGCCTATTTAATTTCAAAATGACAGCCTCTAAAATATTTAAATACGTTGTTGTAGAAGCTAACTTTTTAAACTTGATTTCTTTAGGCTATTTCAAACACAAGCAGTCTGTTCTTCTCAAAAACTGATGATAAGCAGCACGTTACTTGTGACGTTTTGACATCACTATCAAAAGAGGTCAATGTATGCCAAATGAACATTTATCAATAGAAAAGTGGAGGAAACGATCAATAACATTTTGTAGCAAAGACTTTAAACTATTTATCTTTAAGCAAAACAAACTTCAAAAATATATCTACTCGATAGGCTATTCACCACACTGAAAATGTGACAACTAACCCCGGTGGTCTCCTCCCATATTCTTTGGTGTTGCTATTGCATACAGACAGCAATTGCATAGCGCTCTTTGATGTGGTACATGTCCACTGCGTTGGTCCAGCAGTGCGTGGAGAGCGAGGAGAGCGAGGAGAGCCGTGCTCGTTAGTGCAGACTCCCACTGCGCCTCAGCGACCTGACGGATGGAGAGCGACAGCAGGCATTTCACACTGCCTCAGCCAAACCGCACACTGCCAAGAAGTTCAACGAGAATGCATTAATGCAGAATATACATTCATCTTACCATAATGCAGGTCATTGACTCTTCTGAATTTATGTAAGACATTAGCTGGTAACATCACAAACAGGAACAGTCAGTCTGTTCTCTCTTTTAGTCGTCTGAATACCTGTGACATAAAGGCATTGTTCCGGCGCTATGGGGGTCTTGTTTGTCCCGGTTAGGGTCACGGATGAAAGCTGGCCTCTGAATCTCTGCAAAATACAGAAAGCGTGCCAACGTGTGCCTCTGGACTTGAACTCTTCAGGGCTTAATACTAAGGGGCAAGCCCTTCACTCCAGAATGACATACTGACTTACTGGAAAACATCTTAGTGACTTAGTGGAAAACATCATCCTCATTAAACTATTGAAATAAAGGTTTCAAAGGGTAATTTTGTAGTGATGCAATAGAACCATTTTGGGTTCTCCAAAGAAGCATTCAGGGAACAGTTCTTAAAAGAACCTTTTTTTGTAACCGTAAGGAACATTTTGTGCAGGTTCCATGGATATTAAAAGTTCTTTATGGAACAATCAATAAAGAACTTTTATTTCTAGGAGTGTGAATGATTAAAAATAAGTTATTTTGTAGAGTGCCAAGCTGCTCTTTTCCGTATAGTGAGTCAAAGACCAGGCTGTCATTCTCCACACAGTGCCACAGTATCATAAATGTGCATTTCATGTCTTTTGAAGCTGTACAATGGATTTGAGGAACGGAATGAAATGCATGTTATTATTTCTATTTGAAATCGGAGAAAAAAAAACTTTTACATCAAAACAATAACAGCTGTATGGCTTTTGAAGACATGGCAAATACAGGTGCATCTCAAAAAATTAGAATATCGTGAAAAAGTTTTTTTTTTGTAACTTAAGTGAAACTTTCATATATTATAGATTCATTGCATGTAAAGTAAAACATTTCAAAATTATTTTTTTTTTTGCTTTAATTTAGATGATTAGAGCTTACAGCTCATGAAAGTCAAAAATGCAGTATCTCAAAAAATTTGAATATTTATATTTGAGTTTCATTAAATGACCATCCCTACAGTATAAATTCCGGGTATCTTTTGTTCTTTGAAACCACAATAATGGGGAAGACTGCTGACTTGGCAATGGTCCAGAAGACAATCATTGACACCCTACACAAAGAGGGTAAGTCACAGAAGGTCATTACTGAAAGTGGTGGCTTTTCACAGAGTGCTGTATCAAAGCATATTAAATGCAAAGTTGACTGGAAGGAAGAAATTGGGTAGGAAAAGATGCACAAGCAACAGGGATGACCGCAAGCTTGGGAATACTGTCAAACAAAGCCGATTCAAACACTTGGGAGAGCTTCACAAGGAGTGGACTGAAGCTGGATTCAGTGCATCAAGAGTCACCACGCTCAGACGTCTTCAGTAAAAGGGCTACCAGCCACTTCTGAAACAGAAACAACGTCAGAAGCATCTTACCTGGGCTAAGGAGAAAAAGAACTGGACTGTTGCTCAGTGTCCAAAGTTAATGCAGCTGTCTACCAGGCGATTTTGGAGCACTTTATGCTTCCATCTGCTGACAAGCTTTATGGAGATGCTGATTTCCTTTTCCAGCAGGACTTTAGCATCTGCCCACAGTGCCACAACCACTTCCAAGTGGTTTGCTGACCATGATATGACTGCTTGATTGGCCAGCCAACATGCCTGACCTGAACCCCATATAGAATCTATGGGATATTTTCAAGAGAAAGATGAGAAACAGTGGATCCGAGCTGAAGGCTCAATAGTGCCTCAGCAGTGCCACAGGCTGGTCGCTTCCATGCCACACCTCACTGAGGCTGGAGTTTGTGCTAAAGGAGTCCCGACCAAGTATTGAGTGCATCAATGAACATACTTTAAAGAACTTTAACTTTTCTGTTTTGCAAATCCTTTTTTTGATTGATCTTAGGAAATTTTCTAATGTTGTTACAAAAAAAATTAACTTTTTCATGATATTCTAATTTTTTGAGATGCACCTGTAGTGCACAAGTGTATGAACCATTTTTAAGGTGCTTTACTTTTACTGTACTGAAAAAAAGAACACTCTGAAAACCTTTCCTTTTATTCTCCATGAAAGAAAGAAAATCATTTTGGTTTCCAATAGCATGAATTTTTACTTTTAAGTGAACTGTTCCTTTAAAAGTTTGGGGCCAGGAAGATTTTTATTTAGAAAGAAATTAACACTTTATTCAGCAAGGATGCATTAAATTAATTAAAGGTGACACATATATTTAAAATCTTAAAGAACCATTCTATTTCAAATAAATGCTATTTCCATTCAATTTGTTTCCACAAAAATATGAAGCAAAACAACTGTTCTCAAAATTCATTAATTTTTGACGAGCAGCAAATCCGCATATAAGAATGATTTCTGATTTCTATTGTGAAATATATAAGAAAAGATTCATTTTAAATTATAACATTTTACAATATTACAGTTTTACTGCATTTAATCTGGGGTCACAAGTGATCACAGTTTAAATAAATGCAGCCTTGTTGAACAAACGACTTCTTTCAAAAACATTTAAAAATCTTAACGACTCCAAAAATTCCATACTGTACAAAAAATCCACTCATAACCTTTAATGTCCTTAACTCATGGTTCTGCAGTAGTTTACTTTTTTTGTTGTTGAATGATGTTTTTCAATGTTCACTGCTGTAGTGTTTGAGCCTTTAACTGTTCAGCATTTTGCACGCAAGATGTTTAGACGCAATGTAAAATGTTTTAGCCTTCGTAGAAACAAAATTTTCACATTCACATAAATAACTGAACAGAAACACCTTCTGCAGTAGATGGAGGATAGTGTTTTATTTGCTTTGAGACTTGGTATGCTTCTAGAAAAAGAAGCCAACTTTGCAAAGGCAGTAACAAGTTATAAGAGAACAAAGAAACTTTAGCAAAACCGACTAAGAACTGATAAAAGATGCAAATCTTTCGGTCTGATATACTGTCGGGTTTGTGAGTTCTTGTCCCTGGTTTTCATGAACTAAGGAGGCCACTGCTTCACGCCGTGAAACCACAGGATGATAAAAGAAGGAAAACATACTTAACCAGCACGGTATAGTATTGTCTAATAGTCAGCTCGGCTGACAGGTTGCAGTGTTTTTTCAGTGGATTTAAACAAGCTTCTGATTCTGTGTGTGTGTGTGCATTCCTGTGTTTTGATGCATGCAGACATTACTGCCAAATGATAAGAACAACAGAAGTGAGAGGAAGAACAACGCATCTACATATGCTTCACAACCCAGAACCAGAAACAGACGTCTCTCAAATAAATGCTATACACCACGTGAACAGAAATTATCTTAATCATTACAAGTCTATATAAATGCATCGCTTTAACTGCAAAAATTAAATTAGATAAATTGAATCACAATGTTTGTACACAGTAATTACATTTGGTTCACTGCAAATATTAGTCGATTAAGAATAAGTTTATTCTTAAGTTTAATAAGGCAGTTCACCCAAAAATGAAAATGTAGTCATTATTTACTCACCCTTGTTTTTACAAGCTTGAATGTTGTTTGTTATTTTTGCACGAAACACATAAAGAGAATTTTGAATTGCATTAAAAGTCAAAGGTTTGGAACAGCATGAGAGTGAGTAAAAAAATGACAAAATTATCTTTTTTGGGGGTGAACTATCCCTTTAACTCATTAAATATGCATCAGCCCCCATGTTTGGACCCTCTCATTGAACATCAATACTGACCAGGGCTGCCTTTCCCAAAAGCATTGTAAGCCTAAGTTGATTGTAGCTCCATTGGTCGCAATGAGTCTATGGTGTACTTAGGCTTACGATGCTTTTGGGAAACGCAGCCCAGATCAGGAAACAAAATAGTCTATTAATATTGACCAGAATCTGAAACAATGTTCAACCACTGAATCAGAGTCCAGTTGTACATTCCTGTGATGATATCAATATGAATCTCCTTTCTTAAACACGCATCAGGAATGAGTGTTTCTTAAGCTTAAATACATCATCACAAAGCAACATAAACCATCAAGACTTTGTTTCTAAACAGGCTGTTCATAACGGATCACTGTAGCAACATGGTGGCATCAGTTATGACATGACCAGAAAACCAGAGAGAGGAGAGAGACAGCGAGAGGGGGGAAGTAAAGGTGTGGAGATGTGAACACCAGAGGGATGCGTGCATCAGGGACGAGGGATGCGATGGTGTGTGTTTGATCCGTGGAAATCATTTCAGTCACTTCTTGGGCGGGCTGTAGGGCTCCAGCAGCTGCTTGGAGAAAGTATTGACCTTGTCCGCTCCTCGAACCTCGTGAGGCAGCAGAGGCAACTTTACTATGTGGAAATCTTCAAAGGAAGAGAAAAGACAAGAAAAAAGGTAAAGACAGGACAATAAAAGGGATGAAAGAAGGAAAAGGATAAAGAAAAATTGAAAGGATTAAGAATTAAGGAAAAACAATGAGGTAAAAGAAGTGGGAAAGGAAAGGAAATCAAAGGAAAGGAAAGGAAAGAAAGCAAAGGAAAGAAAGCAAAGGAAAGGAAAGGAAAGAAAGCAAAGGAAGGAAAGGAAAGAAAGCAAAGGAAAGGAAAGAAAGCAAAGCAAAGCAAAGCAAAGCAAAGCAAAGGAAAGGAAAGGAAAGGAAAGGAAAGGAAAGGAAAGGGAAGGAAATCAAAGGAAAGGAACGGAAAGAAAAGAAAAGAAAGGAAAGGAAAGAAAGCAAAGGAAAGGAAGGAAATCAAAGGAAAGGAAATGAAAGGAAAGGTAGGAAATCAAAGGAAAGGAACGGAAAGGAAAGGAAGGAAATCAAAGGAAAGGAAAGGAAAGGAAAGGAAGGAAATAAAAGGAAAGAAACGAAAAGGAAAGGCAGGA